ACTAGAGCGCATACAAGTAGCGATGTGGGGGAGCCCAAGGTCAGCACTGAGATCCCTGGTGGACGTGCTTGGGGATTTGTTCAAGTTTCCCTCGGATGCGTGGCTCTTCTTTGGGACAAAGTTTCATTTCACCTGTGGGCTTAGTTCTTTAGTGTTTTTGTACAGACCAAAGTGACTAAAACCCCAGCAGAGCAGGACCAGAGCCCAGAGCCACTCAGCACACTCGGGCTGTTCCCAGCTCCGCAAACACCATTCCCGGCATTCAGCCACCCCCAACACCAAATGTCTGCGGAGATCCGTCCCACCCTCACCTCTCAAAGGTGTCAAACGCTTGCTGTGCTGATAAATTCCTCTCTGTCGCCCTGTTCTTTCTGCAGTAACAACTTTAAAATAGCAAGTTGTTTATAAACAGCCCTCCAAGCTCACCAGGAGTCCTGACGTTCGGTGTTCAGAATCGGGTTTCTTGCTTCCCACTAGCCAGCCAAGGTCCCATGGTGCTCAGGTGCCAGCAGGAGAAAATTTATAGGGGCCCGAGCCAGGGAGTCAGAGTTTCCCGGGGACGGGCCTCACCTGTGTGATGTCACAAGGGCTGCAGGGAGCTAGAGCTCCAAGCTGAGCAGCCTCTCCCTGCAGAAGCCAAGGGCGCCCCTGCAGGACCCCTGTGCGAGGCCAAGGCAGACCTGGGCCCCCCGCTGTTGCTGACCCTGCCACTGTCCGCCCCCAACCCTAACAGCAACCTGGCCTGAAGCCCCTCCTCCCTGGTTCTCGGGTCCCCTGGGCTTTGTCTCTAGGAGGCCTCCGTGACAGCATGTGTTCAGCACACCCAGCAGTGGTTCCAGGCAGAGAAGAGAGCCAGGGGGGCTGAGAACGGGAAGGACCCTCAGCCAGGAAAGTGCAGATGCACACAGAGCTTCCATGGGGGTTAAAGGGGCTCACGGACCTTGAGAAAGCACACCTGTGCCTCGTGGTGCAAGAAAGACACATGTCCCAGCCCTGGGAACCTGGGGTCTGGGGAAGAGCTTCCGGTGAGACGGGGACAGCTGAGCACCTGCCTGACACACGGGGCCACACCTGACACACATGATCACACCTGAAACACATGGCCACACCTGACCCACGAGGGGCACAGGTGATCACACTCATCATCACACCACCCTACAAAGCGCTGTTATCACAGATGGAGAAACTGAGGCCCAAGGTTATCCCAGGGAGCCTAAGTCATAAGCGGCTGAACCGAGCAGGGATTCAGAGCAGCCAGTGTGCCGGAGCGAGGGGGCCTCTGATGCCTGGAGGGGTTTCCTGCCTCGGGAACCCCTCCCACTTTCCTTCCTGGGTTCTCTTCACCGGGTCTTGGCCTGCCCTGCTCCCCCCTGCACCCCCAGTCCTCTGGGATGAAACCAAACGGTCGGGAGAGGCTGCCCCCATCCCCCTCCAGAACCTGCCTGGCCCTCCCCCATTCGGCTCCTACTGGACCCTCTGGTCTCAGGGGGCACATGTCTCCCCTTCCAGATGAAATTCTCAAGAACAAAACTTGTCCGTTACTGTTTAAAGTCGCTAAGTTTGGCGGTGGTTTAAGCTACCCGATACAGTCTGCTTGGGACCATCCCACACAAGGACCCCATCCTCGTGAAGCAGAGTTTCCCTCCGTCCATCAACACTGCAAACTGCAAGCGTTCCCAGCCTTCCTCATGTCTAGGGCGCAGACACATACAAAGCCACTGTGTGCGGAATGTTCTCGGTGTGGTGCCCCTGGATCTGTGCAGTGCACAACCTGGGCAGACACACATAATTGGCCTGGAGATCTAGGTACCCAAACAGGCTCGATCCCAATGCTGAATGCGGAGCTCGGCGTGGGCGTGCAGGGCAGTTGCTCCTGTCTGCAGCCGGCTACCGGCAGAGGGACCCTGCAGGCCCTGCACGGTGTATGGGCTTCTCCCTTCCGTGTAGCACCCAAGACATTCTCCAGTCTTTCCAAAATTCCTTTGAACTGCCAAAAAGCTTTCAACAAATTCCCTTTCTGCTTAAATTAGCCAGACTCAGATTTTTTTGCTTACAGCTAAGAAACGCCACCTGCCCTTGGTTCTGATCTGCTAGATTAAACGGGGTTACCCCTGGTGACCACTCCTGGGCCCTCGCCTGCCAGCCACCCCCAAGGAAGCAGGCGGGCGCCGTCCAGACCCCCAGGGCGGCAGACGCGGAAGCCAGTTTGTCAAGTCTGGGTGAGGCAGGAACCGACAGACAGAGGCTGCCCCGGGGACAAGAAGGCGTTGAGCCGCGGGTCCCCGCCCGAGAGGAGACACCCTCTTGCCATTCTCGCTGCAGCCCCCCGAGACCCCGCTCGGCGCCCCGTGCTGCAGGGGCACCGGGCCCAGGGCGAGGAGTGGAAGCCCATATGCTAGAGCTCGCCGTGACCCCTACGGTCAGAAGACCAATGCTTTTCCCCACTCCTCTTTGTTTGTCAGGTCTCCATGGCTGCCGCCACCCGGGGTCACACTCAGGCCTCGATGAGAAGCCGCACGGAGCACGGCTGAGTGTTCCCTGAAGGGTCTGGTACTGCTGGGTCTGGGGGGGCCCTCCTCCCCTCCCTGCTGCGCTTTGTCCCTTTGTTCTTCTGCATCTGTCTCCCTTCTCCGTTCCTGACTGATTCCCACTCTCTCAATACCTCTGTCCCTCACACACACACACACACACACGAACCCCCAGAGCCTCAGTGCAGCGGGCAGCCTAGGGGGCCCGGGACCCCTGCAGCATCGTCTCGCGGGTGCACGTCCCCCCGCGGCCGCTGGGTGGCAGTGTGGACGCGCGGGTGCGCCGCCGCCGCCCATCCTCTCCGCCCGCGCTGCACCCGGGGCTCAGAGAGGTGCCCGCGCACCAGCTTTCCGGTCACGCCTCGATGCAGCTCCTAATAAATCCCGGTTCTCCCCTCAACCAGACCGGCTCCCTCCTGCGCTGCAAATCAGGGGCCGCGGCCCACCCCGCGGGCCCTTCCTGCGGAGCTGGGGGATTCAGCTAGCGGCTGTGCTTCTGGCTTCCTGCCGGCTGCGCCTGTCCTATCAAATTGTCTTTGAAACCGTCACAGCCCTGCAGAGGTGTGTGACCCGGGCACAGACAAAGGCCGGCGTGCTTTCCTGCGCTTCGTGCTGGCGCAGAGCCTCGGAGGCGGGCTTAGCGGAGGCGGCGACAGGAGGGGACGTGGATCGGCTCCCTCTGGTTTCACCTGAGAGCCGAGGCCACACGAGAGCACAGAAGTGGCCCCATCCCAACTCCTCCGCTACGAGCGAGGAATCCAGACCCAGGGAGGCGCCGGCTTGCCCTGGGCTGCACTTGACCCCGGTGAAGAGCCCGGAGGGGTGGGGCACACCTGACCCACCCTAGAACCAGGGCAGCTCTGTCCAGGTGACCGAGGGCAGTCGCGTGGGCCGAGGCCGTCGTGGTGATGCTTGGGAAGCTCCGGCTTCAGGACGCCCTGCCCAACCGCAGTCACCACCTGGTCAGTTCCCTTGCACAGGCCCCCGGGACTGGATCTGCCTGTCCTGTGAGGGGCAGGCACCTGGGCCAGCTCAAGGTCATGGGCCCTGGGCTGTGGGCAGGGGTGCCTGGCTGCCCCGTAGGCCCGTGGGTGCAGCGGGGGTCCCGCAGATACCCGGAGCAGAGCCACTGCCTTGGCCCCTGTGGCACCTACAGCAATAGCACCGGGGCCTGAGCTCCAGTCCACAGGGCACAAAGAGGACCAGCCCCCGGGGAAGAAGCCGGCGGCACCTTTACTGCGCTGGGCTCTCACCGCGCCTGCAGCTCTAGGCAGACGCTCCCCTTCAAAACAGTCGCTACACAGACATCCTGCAGGCACGGTCCCGAATGTCGGGCAGCCGGGGCCTCGCTCCCAAGACACGCAGACACACAAGAGGCCCTGGAGAGTGGTTTCCCCAGAGCCCCCTTCTGGCTCCCAGCCCCAGCTGCTTTCCTTTGTGTGTGCGTATCTGCCTGTTTTCTTTGAAAAATGAAGATGTTTATTATTTTTTACTGGGGATTCTGATGTACAAAAGGGAGAACCGTGGGTGGCTGGCAGGCAGCTTCTGGGATGGCCCCCAGCAGTCCCATCTCCAGGAGTCCCCTCCCCAAGTTCAGGCTGGACCTGGGGACAGGCTTCTGAGACCAGAACGCAGACAGTGATGGGGGGGGGGGGTTGCTTTCCAGGATGGGCGCACGCTTGCACTGCTCTGAGGCGGCCAGCGGTCCTTGGGGAGGTGCCCAGGGCAGAGGTGCCCGGCAAGGAACCCAGGCCTCGATCCAGCCACCGTGTGGCACTGAATGCCACCAGCAACCTCACAGTCAAGTGTGGCTGGTGAGACAGAGCCCCGCCCCCCGCCCGAGCTCTGGGTGAAGTCCCGCCCCACAGGACCTGTGGGGACACTGTTGCTTTGTCGTGAGTCGCTGTTTGGGAGTGACCACGGTACAGGAATAGATAACGAATACCGCTAGAGAAGACACTGAGAGAACAACATTCAGTTGTCAAATTCGGAGCATTTACTTTTCTTTTTCCTGAAATCCGCAGCAAAGCAAAATTGTTTCTACTTTTACAGAAGCATTGATCTAAGCTAAGAGGATTCTTTCCCATATAGAAATTAAAAGGAAGGTAGTCATTTAAGCCCTCACTACCATTGTTTGTACTTAACTGTTATAACATTTAAAGATCTCGTTTCATACTTTGCACAAAGCCAAGAGCGATTCTGAGTAATAATCACATAACGAACATTTTGTCTACACTACAAATAATAAAACTCTAGTTCTTCAGACATAATACCCAGAAGCACGTTTTTTTGTTTTTCTTCTTTTTCGCCCAAGCATGCACCATTCTCTAAGATTCAGAAAAGGAGCCTTTACCGGGGACCCCGCACTCCTGCTTGGGGACCACGTGGTGGGCAGAGCCTCCCACCCGTGGTGGCAGCTGGCAGCCACCCGCTGGCGGAGGGGCCGCCGACGCTGGAGCAGCAGGGCCCCCGCTACACGTGCTCCTTGTCGAACTCACAGAGGAAGTGCATGGTGAGGTGGCAGGCCACGTCGTTCCAGCCCCCGGAGGCCACCAGCTCCACACAATCCTCGTCGTCATAGGCGTTGTTGGGCTCCCCGCTGCGCCACTGGCTGAAGGTCTGCATGGGCGAGCGGTCCGCGTAGACGAAGGTGCCCTCCCGCTCCAGGTCGTTGATGCCGATGAAGACGCGGGCCAGGCCGGCCTGCGCGACGTAGGCGGCCAGCAGCCCGTTGGCGGCCTCATCCTTGGGCATGGCCAGCGAGCCGCCCCGGCCCTGGCAGGCCAGCTGCGCGTCCACGAGCCGCTTCTCCTCCCTCACCAGCAGGTAGATCTTCTGCTCCGTCTCGCGCACGCCGGCGACGGCTGCGGGGACAGGGCTGGAGGGCGAGCGCTCGCGGGTCCCCGGCAAACCCGGGGAGCCAACCCAGCACGCGCGCACGGGGAGCAGACCCAGGGCCGCTCTGCCTCCGGGCAGGGGTCGGGGGGACACGAGAGCAGGGAAGCCCCGAGGAGCACGTACCGTGTTTGATGAACTTCAGCTCCGCTGTGATCTGCGCCACCTGGTTGTCTGTCTCCCCGACGGCCTTCCTCAGCTGGCCGCACTCACACGGGATGCCTGCGGAGACCGCGCCCGGCGTGTGATGGGACTGACCCAGAGGCGGGCTCAGAGAAGGGAGGGGTACCCCCTCCCCAGCATGCTAGGAGATTCAACAGACACGAAGGCCTTTGAGGCTGCAATGGAGATTTCAGACTTGATCCTAAAGGCAAGGAGCAGTGGAAGGGTTTCCACAGGGGCACCAAGGTCGGATTCACGTTTCACAATCTCGCTCTGGTCGCTTAGGAGGAAATCAGTGGAGGTATGGCGGCGAGACGGGTGGGCGAGAGCAGGGGGTTAGGACAGTCACCTCGGGAAGACTGCGGGCAGTGACAGCGCGGCAGGAGAGACGACAAGACGTTTGAGGAAAGTGGTGGAGCTGGAATTGTGGGGTGATGTTCAGTCATCCCAGCATGGCCAACCCTGCCTCAGCCTAGGTGTTTCCTCCTGGGCCCCTCAGGAGGACCCTACCCTTCCAGCTGTGAAGAGCTCCATGTGGTCAGGAACCTTCTCAGAATGTCACTCACTGGGCCGTCACAGCGCTTGGGGGGCCCATCGCCCACGGCGGCACTGCTGGCTTCGGCTTCTCCACCAGACCAGGAGGGGCCGCCAGCTCCCGCCTGCCCTCTGCTCTGACTCTGTGAGCACAGGGACGGGACTTCTCACCTTTTCCTGAGAAATTCCATCGTGCGAAGCTCTCAGCCTGCCTTTCCAGTCTGAACACACTCTATGGTGTTTGGCCCAGTCTTCCAAACTCTCAGCCCCCCTCTACCACTTAGAACCCAAACACTCCCCAACACATGGGCACCTGAAATGATGCTGGTGTGATTGGGGTTTTTTTCTTTAATGGAACTTTTTCTGAGATAAACGTTGTCTTTGAGTTCGCTGATGTTTGAGGCGTTGATGTTTTCTGGAGAGATGGAACCGGTATCAAGCTGACAGGTCCCCTCAGCTCGCAGGAAGGGCCTACCCAAGGGACTCAGACACTGTATCTTCCCCCTCAATCTAGTATCTGGGAAGTGTCTCCTGTGGTCACATGTGTTGGGGACGAGGACCAGAGGGTGCACACCTGTTAGGATGGTGTTTCAGTAACGGGGCTGAGAGGCCACAACAGCCTGAGTGACAGTGGCGGGAACAGTCCGGCAGGGGTTGGGGGACACTGCGCATAGACGTCCTGAACCTGGCGGGGACAGGGGTTGAGTGACACCGGGGTGGAGGTGCGTGCTGGGAAGGGGGGCGGAGGGCGGAGGGCGGGTGCAGCCGAAGCCCAGGGAACAGCAGTGGGGTTGGAGCGGGCAGCAGGCTGTGCCACATGGAGAAAGAAGAAAGGGCAGCAGGCAGAGCTCCTCCGAGAAGAGAGGAAGAAGCAGGGGCCCCAGGGCGGCAGGCAGAGAGGACGGGGGCTGCCCACGGCCCGGTCTCCTGGCACCAGGGAGGGACGGCAGGCAGGGAAGTCGGTTAAATCCACTGAGCTGGGCCGGGGTCCGCGGTGACAGGAGGGTCGTGGGGAGTCGGCTGCAAGGACACCCAGAATGAGGAAGATGAACCAGAAAGTACGAGCATGCTTCTCAGAGAAGCTGGTGGTCAGGAGGGGGTCCTGATGCTCCCAGAGACGCAGTAGGAAAGGAGGAAAGTGCGCTTAGGACGCGCGTATCTAAGCCAGATCGTGACGAGGTGTGACAATACACAGCCGGCGTGCAGACCACAGCCCTGAACGGGAATGAAAACATTCAGGTAGCAGGAAAGCAAATATTGAAATAGTCCACAGGAGGGTGTGATGCACGAGGAAGGCGTGTCAGCTACATGTGCTTTTTCCAGCCTATTAAGTTTTATGTCATGATTTATACTTTTTAAAAGTGCAATTTTAATACATTTTTTAAAAATCCTTGGGCCTTTTATGCCATACCTGGTTCTCCATTAGGGCCAGGGGGTCCTATGTCACCAGAATCTCCTTTTTCACCTGGAAAAGAGAAGCAAGACCAAAGTCACAAAGCTGGGGTGGGACGTGTCCCCTGAGTTCAAAATGTCTGGGTAGCAATGTTCTTTCTTCCATGTGCAGTGCCCTGCGGTTCCTCCCAGACCCTCCTGTGGTGAACTGGAGGGAGGAATGGTCTATAGATGACATTCTTCAGGCTCTGTTTATGTGACGTAGAACATCCACGTATCACGGGACTTCAGAGATTATCAGATGAGCGTTCTTTAAGTCAATTCTGGAAACCCCAGCATGTTTCCTAGAACACGCTATCACCTCGGAAATCCGTAACACCCAGTGCCAGTTCCCTCCACGTCCCACATCACAGCAGGAAAATTCAGGTAGAACAGGTAACGTCAGAGACGGATGGACCGTGGAGGTTCCCTCATGCAAACAGAGTCAAGACCGGTCCTCCCTGTCCCTCTCCGAGAGGCAGCAAGGCATCCCAGGGGCACAGCCACCAGGACACCTGGGCGCCAGCCTTCTGTGGACAGGACAGACGACTCAGCCACTCTGCCCCTCCATTTCTTCCAACTTAAGAAACAAAGGGATAGGAGAAAATCATGGCAACAAAGCTTTCTAGAAATTAAGACAATGGACATTTATTTTTAAATCACAGGAATATTCCTAAAGCACCACCTTTCTTCCCCCTGAGAGAACTTAAGCTTCTCAGCTGACCTGGGACAGTGAAGGGGCAGTGACTTCTACATCCTTGGAGAGTCATGTTCCGTTTGATGGGGATGAAGAGAGCTCGGCAGTCTCCGTCCAAGTGATTCCTTTTTTTGCTTTTATCAACACCAGGAGCTTGAAAATGACTCAAGGATCAGCTTGACAAGGACCCAGGACGGCAGAGTCTCAGAGATGGAGCAGATCAGATAAGCTGAGCCCAGTAAGGGCCTTCTTAGCAAGTTGTCCCCTGGTGAGACTCTGACATTTACCCAGAGCACATGCTGTATGTTAAAAGCACACACATCCCTACTTGTAGCCAGTATCCACTGCGTTCTTCACAGCAGCTAAAAGGTGGAAACGACCCCAGTGGCCGTCAGCAGATGAAGGGATAAATAAAACGTGGTCCATCCATGCAACAGAATATTATCCAGCCTTATAAAGGAAGGAAATTCTGACACCTGCTACAACATAGATGAACCCTGGGAACATTATACCAAGTGAAATAAGACACAAAAGGACAAATACTGTATGATTCCATTCATATGGAATATCTAAACAGGCAAGTTCTTAGAGAAAGCAGATTAGAGGCTGCTAGGGGCTGCAGGGGTGTGGGGCATTATTACCTCATGAGGACAGAGTCTCTCTGGGGGAATGAAAACATTTTGGAAATGTATAGCGGTCGTGGTTCTACAACATTGCAGTCGTGCTTAGTGTCACTGAATTGTACACTGAAAATAGTTAAAGTGACAAATTTTATGTTACAAATATTTTACCACAAGTTTTTTAAGCTTTTTCAAAGCATCCGCAACCCTCTCTATATCATGCATATCGATCTGTGTGCTCTGTAATGAATCCACGGGGCAGGTGTTTCCCACGGATTTGCCGGGAGGAAAGACGCAGCTCGCTGAGCTGGCCACACTCTTCGTCTCGATCCTGGCTGAGGGACCCTTCCCACCAGGGACGGGCTGGGCCGGGGGAGGTCCGTGCCATGGATCGGAACTGACCACCTGGACCCACTCACAGCTCAAAGCCCCAGGTAGGGTGATGGAGCACAGGACTGCGGGCACCGTGCTAGGCAGAGCAGACCACAGCCAAACTCCCTCCCAGCCCCAAGCCCCCCAGCCTCTGTCTCCTGCTGCCAGTACCCATGACAGGACCTGGGGAGCCCTTCACGGGGCTGGGCGGCCTCGCTTCCTTCACCCCGAGCCCTCTGGGGTCCAGCACGGGCGCAGCACAAGCCAGGGGCTCAGAAAGCGTTTGCTGACTGAGTGCGGAATGGGGGGTGGGGTGCGCGGAAGAGTCGGGCGATGCTGAGCGACCCCTTAACTGCCCTGGGGACAGTCTCCCGAGCTGCCCACCCTCCAGGTCGTGCAGGTCAAATGGGGTCGCAAGGGCACTGGTGCTGCTTCCACGCTGCTGTCACCCTCCTGCCCCCCATGTTCATGGGGAGCCACCCCCCAGTCTCAGAGAGTCTGAGTCACGCGAGCTGCTGGTGGACGGACAGAGTGTCGGGAACGCGGTCCTTCCGCTGCTTAAATGGGGCTCCTGATTCTCCCCCAGGCAGCATGTGAACCCTGAGGGGCAGGGAGCTCTCCCCACCTGGTGGCACCCAGTCAAGTCTGATCGATCCCAAAACGCAAACGCTGGAACACAGCTTATCATGTATAAAGCACACAAAATAAACACGACCACCAGCTACTCTCTAAGTGCCCGGGCGGTGAGCCTGCGAGGGAAAGTGAGCAGAGGTGTGTCCGAAGTACCTTTAGAACCAATGGGACCGATTTTTCCATGGCGCCCCACGCCGCCTTTCTGTCCTTTGTCACCCATGTCTCCTGTGGAAAACAATGAGATCACAGTTGGTCGAGGCACAGGTAATGCAGCACACCTGCTGTGTATCAGCCCACGTGAACACGCACACACACACGCACACGAGGAGACCGAACACGTTACGACTCCCGTTTAACCTCTCCAAGGTCGTGTATCCAACTGACCCCAGAAGGCTCTACATGTCACCTGCTGATGTATTTCCCAAAGGAAGACACACACACCCCTAAAGTCACACACACTACGGAACAGATGAGGCCACGCGGTACATCCCCATGTCCTCAACTCAACCAAGCGCCTTAGACTGAGCACTTCCGGCCAGCAAGCAAGTCTGGACCCTCTAGTCCATTAGTGTGGTCTGAGCTCAAAGATGACCACAGACACCCTGCTCAGCCTCCTGCAAAGTGTTCCAGAGCAAAGCCCCTGTCCCTGGAATGCGCACTCAGCTATTGCTGTTGTTCCAGGGCCTCGGCCGCCACCCTCCTTCCGGACACCTTTTCTTCAAAAGGCCAACGTTCCCTCTTCCCTCTCAGCTGTGCCCCTCCTGAGGTCCTGGGGTCAACGTGAGCCCTGAGGAAGCTGGGCTGAGCAGGATAAGTGTCGATGACCTCCATGCTCATGCGTCTTACTTTCACATCTCGCCAAATCATGGGGTGGTTTGGCTTGTTTTCACGCTGTCTCAGCAGGGTCTGCTGGGACACTTGCGGCATCCTTAGAGGGACGCGCAGGCCTGATAAACTGGATTAAGCTCGGGCTCCATCGGGCAGTCCCACGAAGAGAGTGCCCAGGGCAGGAGGAGGTCTCGGAGACCCCCAACCCAACCATATCTTCAGACAGGAAGGCAGAGACAGACACAGAGTCCGAGGGATTTGCACCTACAGTAATGAGTTGGGTGGATGGTCCCCAGCATGTGGATCCCACTGAACTCCCACTGGAGAGGGGCAGGGTCGCCAGAGTCTGGAGAGTGGCTTCCTGCCAGGGGAACACGCCTCCTCGTTCAGAAGACCCAACACTGCAGAGGAGTCTGGTCCACGTTTTAACGGGCAGATTGGGGCAGACTGGGTGTGAGTGCAAACCCATCACCTGAAGAGTCTGCTGTTTGCTAAGATTCCACCTAGAAAAGGTGAGAACAGAGTTTGGGCCTCCTGCCAACCTTGGGGTCACTTCTCCCCGAGACCCCTCCCTGCAGAGGGGAACTCAAAACAACACCTGCCCACCCCTCTGCTCCCATCCAGACGGCTCCTGCTGCCCCAAGCAGACAGGGAGAGGGTAAGGAGGCTTGGACGAGCACACTGGAGGGGGAAACACCTGCGATCAAAAACAATGGCGAGAGCGCCGCCCCCTCACCCCCCAACCCCGCATAAAACCTCTCGGCCTAGCAGACGATTAATTCATGACTCACTGCATCTGCTGAAGGATTCAGTCAGGGTCTAGCACACATCCTGCTGTGGTAAATAAGTCAACCTGAGGGTGATGGGAGAGCCTTCGGCTTTCAGCCCGTCTCTCAATTGCACAGCCGAACTTTACCACTAATTCAAGGTTGCTGCTGACACGTGGCACCTGCCCCCAGCAGGTACTGAGCCCAGCTCCCGCCCTGGGAGGGGTGTGGGACCCGGCTCCCACCATAGGGGGCTCTGAGAAACCAGGCACACGTATAGAAAATCAATCGGATGCCAGCAGCTCACGGGGCAGGGGGATGGGGGCAGGCGAGCCCAAGCCCAAGGCGGGAAACAAAGGCGCTGCAGGTCTGCAAACCTCAGGGTGGGAGTCCCCCCGGGGGCTCGTCACCACGGAGGGCTGGGCCCGCCCCGGGGGATTCCACAGGTCCGGGTGGGGCGTCCCCTTGGCCTGCACGGGTGACCTCCTGCAGCTCCCAAGTGTTGCGGATGCCGCTGCTTCCAGAACCGGGCTTGGAGACCCCTGCGGTTTGCGATGTGAGAAGACTGGAGCTGCAGGAGGTCACCCGTGCAGGCCAAGGCTGGGGATCAGGCAGCCCCAGGTCTGTGCCCCAGCTCTACCGTCGAGGCTGAATCTCTCTGCACCTCAGTTTTCTCTCTGCAAAGTGGTGTCCTGTAATAACAGCTCCTCTTGTGTGTCTGAGACTCCAGGCCCGCAGCGCCGTGTGCACAAGGCTTGGAGCTCAGGCCCTGGGGCCCAGCTGATTCTCCCCCTGTCACTCGGCTGTGCCATCTCTGTGCATTTCTGACCTACATAATGGGGCTAATAATAGCCATACTAGAGCCATCTCACTGGGTGCTGAGGGAAACGCGAGCACCGTCCGGAACGGCATCTGGCGCGTGGCAGGTGGACCTGAGTGTTGGCCACTATAACTGTCATTTGGAGGCAGAAGCTCCGAGCTAGGACGCTGCCTCCTCAGGAGTGATCCATGTCCCCCATGACCCCCCTGGATCTGCACAAGCATGCAGAGCCTCAGGCCCCACCAGCTCAAGCACCAAAATCTGCATTTTAACACATCCCTGGGTGATTCCAGGGGCCCCAAAGCTGGAGCAGGGATGGACCAGACCCCGAGGGCAGCCCTCTTTGGAGGTTGGTTGAGATTCCATGGTAACCCACTGCTTGCTGCTGCCAGGAGCAAACTGGAGCTAGCAATAGAGGTGCTTGCAATCTGGGGCAGTTCTGCTTGTTTTTCCAACTTTCAGAAATAAATCAGAATACTTCCAGGTACACTGTGTGCCAGGAAAGCGTGTCCACATGTACTGATGGATTTCAACCTCACAGTGTTATTGCCATTATCACTTGGTATGGGCTGAATTGTGTGTCCTCCAAAATTCATATGTTGAAGCCCTAACCCCCAATGTGACCATATTTGGAGATGGCCTTTCAAGAGGTGATTAAGGTTAAATGGGGTCAGAAAGGTGAGGGCCTAATCCGATAGGACTGGTGTCCCTGTAAGAAGAGGAAGACACACCCAGCGAGCCACACACAGAGGAAAGGCCTCGTGAGGACACAGGGAGAAGGCGGCCATCTGCGCCCCACGGAGAGAGGCCTCAGGGAAACCAGCCCTGCAGACACCACGGTCTCTGACTTCCAGCCTCCAGGGTTGAGAGAATAAACATCTGCCGTGTTTGTTACGGCAGCCCCAGCTGACTGGTACACTTTCCCTCTGCCCCAGAAGAGAAAGTGGAATCAGAGGGGTGGCGCCACCCACCACCAGTCATGCCGCTAGTGCGACTGGTGTCCAGTGATCCAGGGCGCAGCCTGCAATCGGGCAGACCAGGCCCGGGTCCCATCCCCTGACCCGCGCAGCCTGGGGTGAGTTACAGCCCTCAGAGCCTCGGCTTCCTCAGCTGCAAGGTGGCATTACCCTTCAGGCCGCTGAGCATAGGACATCGGCCCAGGTCTCCTGGCCACATCCAGGGCCCCGAGCCCTCACCTCAGCTGTGGGACAGTGGCCTGGTCCCCACAGACCCAGCCACAAGCCAAGGCTGCACTTCCAGGGACTGGGCCTGAGGGCATGCTGCAGGCTCATGGGAGACAAACGACCCTCCCCGGGGGCCCAGAAGGTGGGAAATAGGAAACCAGAGAGAGCAGAGCCGACACCCAGCCTCCCGTGGTGCCGGCTCACCTGTGAGGAGCCGCTCAGGGGCCAGGCCTCACCTGTCCCTGCTCAGCCCTGCATCCTCGGGGCCCACGGCCCAGGCCCTCGGACCAGAGGAGACCTGGTTCGTGACGCCCCCTGATGACCTCACAAGAGGGCCTCTGTGCTGAAGACTAGGCACTGGGGGTAGCTGGGCCTGATGTGGACGGTCACCCCAGCCAGCACGACCAGCGCCCTGCCGTGCACAGCTCCCAGCCATCAGTCCCACCCCAAGAGGGGTGTCAGAGTAACAACAGCCACCACCTGTGGGTGCCTGCTGGGCAACGCATGCACACACACACATGTACACACACACATACATACATGCACGTTTACGCGTGCACACATACATACACATACGTGCATATACACGCATTCACATACATATACACACATTCACATATATACACACATGCACATACACATGCATTCACATACATATACACACATATACATATACACAATGCACATACACACATTCACATACATATACACATGCACAGACACACGTTCACATACATGCACACATTCACATACATATACACACGTGCATGCATTCACATACATACACACATGCACACAGATACATATGTGCACCCATACGTGTGCACACATGCATTCCAAATATGCGCGTATGTATACATATATACATACACGTGCATGTGCATATACATACACATACACATGCACACATATCTACATTCACAATGCATGCACACATACACACAAACAGCATGTTCAAACATACAAACACACACCAAGCAAACCTTTCATCCTCACAGCACTCGGGCTGAAAGCTGGAAGCAGTAGCCTACAGCAGGCCCCTGCACCGTGACCCTGCACACAAGGTCACGGGCGTGGGCTGCCGTCCCTCGTAGGGGCATATTCTCTCCTTGGGGTGTGCTGGAGAAGAAGAGAAAGCAAGAACCATTGAGCTCCCCGAGATGTCCACACACTCTCCACTTGAGGGCAACCCAAGGTCATCTGCAATGCTGACTTGCCTTAACTCACAGACACTCCTTGGAAAGCAGCAGAAAAGCAGTGTGGTTGCCAGCCTAGAGGAGACTGGATCTGAACAAGAGCCCTGCTGGCTTCATCCCGCCTCCTCTTGCTTCTCCAAATGACAAGAAGCTTTTTGCAAAAGCCAAACAAATCCCCCCCCACCCTGGTGGTGTGGGATGATTGGAAACGCACCAGACACACTCAGATCCGGTCCCTTTAAGTCTCCAGACCTGGCGGTGGCGGCTCCCCAGGGAGCTGTGACTGCAGTGCCAGCCCTTCCCATCCCATCCCGCTTATGAGAAGTGTGCTAGCGCACATCTGTCCTCTGGACATGCACGAGGAAGGCGGGCAGCTCGCAGCGGGCTGCTAATTCTTATTAATTTTAATGAAGATCTCACACCGTCCTTT